CAATTTGCTTTTCAGCATGTCCTTGTGTATAGGGTTTATTCTGTAAGTAATGTAATTAAGTGTTTGTGGTGGAATAAGCGATTGATTATGAAAACAAAAAAAATATGTTTATATTTTCCCATTCAAAACGCTACCTTTGAAAGAAATCGAACGCAAAATGAAGCCATTGAAATGAAATCTGTCCTACTTTAAACTTGGTTATAGAGTTAATTTTCTGGGAAAGCGGTCACTGAATTAAAATAGTAAAAATGTATTAAAACAAAAGAAAGAGAGAGAAAAAAAGATGAAATTTATTTGAAATGTTTTCGACAGAATTTAATGTTGACTTTAAATTAATAAATTCCAACTTGGTTCTGTTCAATTGGTGATGTTTTGGAAGGAGATGATTAAATTTGCAGATGACAGAAACTAATGAAAAATTGTAAAAAAAAAAAGAAAACAAGTATTTGGAAAAAGGAGAAATGGATTAGTTATTTCTATTTTTGTTTTTCTCAAATATGATATCCGTTGTCATCCAGTTGTGTTTATTTCCTGTGTCAAGTTACACATCGAACATCAATTAGACAAACACATTCACAGTCATGATAATCACTCTAATGTAATCTTTTAATTAGCAGATGAGGAATCTACAAAGTGATATCGATATGTCATCTGTCAAGATTGTCGGTTGATATTCATTTAGTTATAAGTTTGGGCTAACTAGCTAAATAACATTAATAACGGTTATTCAGGTGACAGCAATATTGAACTCAGCAAGAAGATTAAAAATAGATATACAGGTACAATAACAAAACTGAAAAATCATCATCATCATTCTTATCATCTTCATCATAATCATCATCATCATACTTATCATCGTCGTCGCCGTGACAAATGTAATGCGCTGTATTTCATTGGATCTTGCGGGTACGCCGAGGGCGGGGCTATGTAGTCTGGGCAGAGCAAGGCCTCTATATACTATTACTCAGGAGTGGACTCTGGATAGGTCACTCAAGTTTCACTACGAAAGGAGAGAATTTTGACCTGACAGATAAGCGGATGTCTGTTAATAAGAGTGACTATACATGACCATTCATGAAACATTCTAAAAAATTCTTGAAAATTGAAGTAAAAATATCCCTAGAAACTTAAAACTACGATTATTCCTCTGGTGATAGGGGGATTTGGTATGATAAAGAAGAATATAAAAAAATCATGCGAGTCAAAAGTTTTAGAAACACCAGCATGCCAGAGCTGCAAAAGGTTACTTTGTGCAGAACGGCACCTGTCAGGCACAAACCCCTTTCCATCTAAACAAAACGTACCGAATATATATCTTCTACAGTTCGATTTTTACTCAAAGACTCCAAAGGGGGCTTGGTAATAAAACTTAAAACTACTCTCTGGCAAGATGATGACAATAATAATAATAATAATAATAATAATAATAATAATAATAAAAAACAAAATGTGCCTTCTCATTGACATGCCAGTCTCTGCAGACTGTAATGTATTTTAGAAGATCTTCAAAAAACTTTCAAAATACAAGGACCTTGAAATCGAAACCTCAAAAATGTAGCACATGAGGATGTCAACAACTCCAATTGTAGTTGGAGCCCTCGGATTGATTGAAAAAGATTCCAATAAACTCATTGAAGGTATTTCTGGTAACGCAGGCTTTAAAGAAGATAAAAAATAATACTCCTAAGTATAGCCCATATCATATGTAGGGGTTCAGCTATGTGAAATATGCGCCTCAAGAGGAAGCAGGGAGTTCAGCCTGAAGTCGGCGACCGGCTGACCGGCTGATCGGTTGAACTCTCTGCCTTCGGGCGGGGAGGAACCCGATCGAGGCTACACCGAAGGGCGGAGTCTCTTTCGGGGAGGTAAACCGACCCTGAACCCGTTTATACGGATTCAAAGGGCATATTTTTAGCCGAGGCCACGGGCTCGGAGATCCCATGTTAAACCGGCCTTGTGCCACATGATGCCCACGTGGTGGGGGTGACTAAATACTGTCACATATGAAGTCTGGGTTCAGTCTGAAGTCTGGAGTTTAGTCTGAAGTCTGAAGTAAGGTCCGTCAGGAGTTAGTCAGTCGAGTCGAGGCAGTCCGAAACAGAGTTGCGTTCAGACAATTACTACTAAACCTGATTGTTTGTACTAACACTTTCTACCTCTCTGTATATATTCCTGTTTGTAATATATCTGTGTTATTCCATATCCGCCTTCGAGTTCTTCTTTATTGGTTCTACCTTGGACTATCACCGTGGTACAAGGAACGGACCATAACAGAAAGGTTATAAGCTCTAAACAAAAACAGAAAAATCAATCACTTATTGCTACTACTGCTGCTACCGCTGCTGCTACTGTTGCTACTGCTGCTGCTAATATATCCCCTAATGCTTTTCTTACGTTACTTTGGCTGCATGTTCACGTTAACATGTGTAAGGTAAACTTTCATGGACATGTTGCAGCTGCTAGGCTTCAAAATGTGCATCTAGTGTTTCATTGCTTTTTAAGAACTTTAAATGAATAATAACCCAATGACCCCTCCACAAGAACAACTTTACCTTTCTTCCAGACAGCTCAGGGTCGGGTGTAGGGATTTACTCTTGTGGATCCATTGATCTTTTGCGTTGAACATTTTCTTATGCTAGTGTACCCCAAATTTATTCTTAACTGTCACATATTTTAGTAATTAATACAACCACCGATTCTAAAGAAATTTTAACTACTTATTTAAATTTTAATATAGTTTAAATTTCGTTGTCTCCTAAAATTAAAAAAAAAACAGCGAGAGAAAACTTAAATTCATGCAATTCAATTTATTTTTAAACACTGAGAAGATGAAAAAGTACACATGAACAAACACATGCACACGAAAGGATATATCCATTCAGGAAATTGTAAGAAAAAAATAAATTATTGTGACGCAGATTAAAACGTTAGGACTTCATCGGACTGGGTTTGTTGACGTTGTTGTAACAACACATGCTCATGAACGAGAGACGCTGTTAGTTTCAAAATGTTTCAAATAATTTTTTTCAATCTTTATTCATCTATATTCTTTTTCTTACCATAATCTTTGATTTCAAATATCCCACATTGTGATAACAGAAAAAAAACTGCCAAGAATGATGGAAAGTTATCAGAAGATGGACGTAAACTTACTGTGGCTCAACTAGCGATTAAAACGCTTTGTAGACATTTTTGTCTTGATGATTTATTTTATCTTTTAATTAAAGTAGCTTATTTTATGTTAAAATTCTGGTCCGTTCCGTTACGGTGAAAGATCAATTCTTTTTGTGTGTTTAAAATTCTTGGGCTTTCTTCAATATATTCTTTCTGGCAATCCTCGAAGTTCATGGAGTAAATCCCTCCAAGTTTTGCTTGTAGTTTCTTTTTGTATTGATTAAGTCTTTTATTGTTTTAGATGGAGTTGTTACAAATGTTATGTTGCGTTTAGATAAATTCTTTTCGATTGTAGGTGTAATTTCATAGGCAAGTGTAGTCACAACAATTTCAATAAACCCAGTCCGATGAAGTCCTAACGGATAAAACACGTCGCAAATATTTTTTCCATTTAGTCTTACAATTCCCTCAGTACTGTTCTTGATATATATATATATATATATATATATATATATATATATATATATATTCATACAAATACAAAAAACAAATATAGAGTTAATCTTTTAAATAGCGAGAATAAATTAAAAGATTTAAACAATATAAATAAGAACATCGGATCGAACCTTCATATATGAATGATATGATCCCTTATTTATATTGTTTCGAAGTTGTATAAAAGGTCATTTAATTTTTAAAGCTTAATTATATTTGTTTTTGTATGAATGATTCATGAATTTATAAATTATAATTTCAACCTTTAATTGAAATAATATATATATATATATATATATATATATATATATATATATATATATATATTAAATAATGAAACAGATGAGCAGCAAAAATCTGAGATTTTGTATTAATTTTGGTATGTTTCGTGCGATTCCATATTTAACAAAATCGAAAGAATCTGCAATATTACAACTCCTGACCTAGCATCTCTGTTTCACTCACTTTCACACCGTTATAACATAACTTCCCTCTGCCTTTTCTACCAATAACTCCAAGACAATTTCACTGATGAGCTTTCTTTTTTTCGGACCACGACATCTTCAATTTAAGCGTAGTACTAGATTGCCAATAGGTTTTATCATTTTATTGTTGAAATTTCTAAATGTAACGCTAAGTTCTATTCTAATAGTCTCTTACCTGACAACTCTCTCCTCCGAAATTCTCTTCCCGCTTCTTGCTTTTCTGTCAAGTACAATCTACAAATTGTTACCTTCTGACTCATTAAATCTTGTTCTTTTTATTGTTTTTCTGCTCAGAAACGTTTTCTTAGTTTTCATCAATCTATTATCTTTCGTTCACAGAAACGCATTGCATCTTAGTGGCTTTTTCACCTTACTTTGGGTGAAATGATAAAACAATATGTTGTAATAAAAGAAGAAAGGGCTTACGTTTTCAGGCAGACCTCGTACTTCAATTCTATCGTTATTCAGATCTTTTTTAGGGAGGTTATATGATGGATTCAATTCACTGCGTGATTCTTAATCGCACATGAGGATTGACGTCATTTCTAATAAACAAGCAGTTAGTGCATGTACATCAACAGCCATGAGCACTTTTTGATATAAGAGAGCATAAATTAATGCCAGTTTTACATTTAATAACAGCCAGGTTCCATATTTATATGTGGATCTGGTTAAGAAGGGTTTTATAAGAGAGAAAGAAGGGGAAAATGCCAACAACAACAACAAAAAAAAAAATCAGTAATAAATTGTACTGACCAAAACACGCGCGAACACACAATAGCATCGCTTCCCAAAAAAGAAACGTTAAAATAGATATCGGAAATATAAAGAACGAAAATTCTTTATTTTGAGAACAAAATCATAAAAAGCGGAACAAAAAGAACACACATAAAAATTAGCCAAAACAACAACAACAGAAAAAAGCGAAAGCAGGATGAAAGAGTAGAGAAGGAGAGAGAAGTCGAGAAAGAAACAACAAGACAGAATCCTTGAATGGAAAGGCATGAGGTGGCGCGACGCTCTGGGAAAGATGATTGCCAAATCATATTTCTTTTTTAGATCCATGTCAGGTTTATCGGTCGAAGCAAACAATGTCGGAGTAATTTAGTGTCATCCAATCTGAATTTATACAGCCAGTTTAATGATATTGCCGGATTCATAGCAAAGATTACAGGTTTTGAATGCAGTCACGATTGTAGACTGAAGGCGGTGACGGGGCTAGCAAGCCAATTTTATGAAGTGGGGTTCTTGTTTATATTGGTGATATATGTAGCAATTCGAGATAAAAGAGACAGCTAGTTCTTTGTTGAGAAAAAAGAAATAACATTTTATATTTTAAGACAAGAAGGAAGAAATAAAAAGGGTGTCTCAAAAAAGGAAATAAAAGAAAGAAGAACCATTTTTTTTGGTAATATATTGTATTTAATCAAATTATCTAAAAATATCTGCGATTCTGAATATTTATATTAAAAAAGAACTATCAAGAACGATATGGGACAACGGATTATGGAGAGTATAATTTGTTCAGGTATTTCACAAGGTCGTTCTAATTTGTTGGGTAGAGTGGTATAAAATAATAAAGAGGTATAATAGGAATTTAAAATAAAACTAATATCTGCAAAACTATCTGCTATCATTCATTCATACTGAATATAATTAGTTTATATTTTGTGGGAATAATTAGGGCTGGCCTAAAACGCATTCATTAAATCACGGGAAATCTGAATAGTGAAAAGACTTTTGACAATGCTCACGAATTTACTCTTGCCACCAAACACGGCCATTTTGATGATTGAAGCCGTAGGAAAAAATGGAAATACTTGGGCCTTATCAACTGCAGAGGCTGATGCTCTACCAGCCTAAGTTGTTTCTGAAGATGCTGTAATGGAATCTGATCATCACTCCATTATAACTTTAAAACAAAACAAATTCAGTTCAAATCGCGATTCGAGGTTACTCGCAATATAATAATCAGCCGATAAGAACCCCAAAACTTGCTGGAAACTAAGAATGTTAATTTGAACTGAGTATCGATTGAGTACTACCAACAAAAACGACATGCACAAACAAATAAGACAACTAACAGGATATAAGACATGCTCGTCAACAGACTGCCTAAAATCAAAAATGGAACGCACATATAAGAGAAGGAAAAATTCTTCAACGCTGGAGCGAGTATATTGGAGAACTCTTCCACGACGTAAGGGAACAGCCAGTAATATACAAAAATACCGAAGAACCTGGAATTCTGAAAACCGGAGCAAAAGCCCCACTGGCCAAATTGAACAGAAACAAGGCAGCTGGGCCAGACGGAATTGTAACGGAAATGCTGACAGCTTTAGATGACTCTGGCATAAACAAGATCACCGAAATAACAAATGAAATCTACAACAGCTCGGATATGCCTGAAGACCTCAGCAGATCTATCTTCGTACATATGACTAAGAAAATAGGCGTAAACGAATGCGAACTCCACCTAATGAGCTACGTGACGAAATTCATCATCCGTATTCTAATGAATAGAGCGCGCAGCAGAATCATCCCCGAGATAGGACAAGAACAGTGCGGGTTCGTTAAAGACACCGGAACAAAGAACGCGATATTCATGCTCAGAATGTCATCAGAAAGAGCGATCCAGATGCAGAAGGACGTGTACCTGTTTCATAGACTACGCAATGTCTTCGACAAAGTACGCCACAAGGATCTGATCAAACTGTTCAGTAACCTCGATATATTCGTGAAAGATATCAGAATAATAAACATAGGAATCGAGTTTAGTGTCTATACAAAAAAAAGAAAGGGGCGTAAGACAAGGATGCGTCCTCTCACCAGACCTCTTCAATCTATACAGGGAGGCAATTCTGAGAGAATTGGAAGCCCTACCGGGATTTAGCATTGGCGGCCACAATATTAACAACATAAGATACGTAGATGGCACAGTACTGATAGCAGACACGGAAAAGAAATTACAAAATCTCCTATAGAAAGTATCGATGGAGAGTGAGAAAAAAAGGACTAATAATAAACTACAAGAGGACAAAATGCATGATCATCAGTAAGAGGATGAGCCCGAAATGTGATTTGAAGGCCGGAAACACTAGAATCAAGCAGACGCGGAAGTTTAAATGTCTGGGAATCATCTTGACAGAGGATATTATGTGCGACACTAAGATCCATAGATGTATTGGGATGGCCAATGACACATTCCAAAAACTGGACAGAGTACTGCGAGACAGGAGGATTTATTTTGTAACAAAGAAAAGAATACTGAACTGTTACGTGACATCTGTCCTTCTTTACGGCAGCGAATATTGGACGATTTCCTTAAAGATGAAGAAGAAACTCGAGGCGACAGAGATGTGGTTCTTCAGAAGGATGATAAGGATATCATGGACCGAGCGTGTGAGCAACAATGAGGCCTTAGAGAGGTTGAAAACAAGGAGGAGGCTTATACTTAACATCAGGAAGAGGCAGCAGAAGTTTCTGGGACACATAATGAGGAAGAAGGGCCTGGAGAATCTGATACTCACGTGTCGAATAGAGCGAAAGCAATACAAGGGAAAACAACGGGTGACATACCTGGCGGACTTAAGTGTATGACAGAACGTGTTCTGGAGGAGGAAACAGAGGGAAGGACATTTTTGAGAGCTGCAAGGGACAGAGGGAGGTGGGGAGCCATGATCGCCTACGTTCTGAAAGGACATGAAACATAAAAAGGGCGGAGTCATTGGTGAGGGTGACTGCTCTGTCTTAATCGTTTTGATTTAACATTAACATTCACTTGGAATTATTGTGTGGGTCGGTGTCTCTCTTTATTTTTCTGTTCTATATATATATATATATATATATATATATATATATATATATATATATATATAGGTGGAGGTAAAAGAAGGTTTTGCAATAATAAAAAGCATGTGAGCACAAAAAGTATTGATATACAAACATATCAATAATAGCATATCAATAATGGCACAATATTTACTGTATATCTTATTTTTCCATTTATATATATATATATATATATATATATATATATATATATATATAGTAATAATACAATATAGTATTTGTGATTTTGTTTGTATGTTTTGAAGATTGAAAGCAGTTTTTCAGAGCTCTCATGAAATAAAATTATTATCTATAGTATTTTAAATGTTTAATATTTATTAATTAATTGCGATTGAGTCTAGCATATATATATATATATATATATATTAAGACATTTTTATGTTTAACATTCTTTTTATAGATTCAAATATTTAAGTAAATGCTCTGTTTATAATAAACAGTATTAAACATTTACCGGCCTGAATGTCCGAGAAATTTTTACAGAAAAATTTTCGTCCTCCGCGAACCTGTATCCTATGCGGAACCGTCATTTAGCTTGACGTGCCTTTACCGATTTGGCCACGAAGGAGCGTTCGATTAGCAAGGTCGAATTTACTGTATTTAAACTTCAATCTTCCATGAATCTCTCACGTACATTCATATCTGCTCATGGCGTATCAAATGTAAACAAATGACGTCACACATTATGAAATGGACAAAGTCCGATTTAAATTTAAATGTATGACTTAAAGATGGAGTATAAAAAGTTGCACTTTCGACATATTATTCTCCCCTGGCAAAAAAAGAAGGAAATCGTTCAGACGGTATTTGTATCATGCGTGCTCCAGCTTTTAGAACTGTCCAAAACGTAGTTTTGCAGATTTTTTCAGGATGATTTTAACTTACAGAAAAACGTAAATGACGAAAACTACCTCACAACATTCTTCTAGCAGAAACCAGGAGGTTGTTTTCATTAGGAATTCACTGCCATTTTTGATTTGTAATTTCCATCACGTGTTATGATATATTTAAGAAACGTTTAGTTCGGATATTACATACGTCATTACAATTGGTTTGAAATATTTACGACTTAACAAAATATTAGTTCTATTTTAGTTTAGTTTAAAGAAACAACTTTTAAATTTTTTTTAGGAATTTTTTTTCAAAAATGCTGACCTGTAAAATACGTTTTGAAATGTAGATAATCGAACAGGTGATCAGAAATTGATCTTTTAAAATCGCGGTGTTCTGAAGATAGAAACTGAATGTTATCGAAGACAATTAAAAAAAAAGACCGAAGATAAGAACAAAAACTATTTAAATAAATACAATGTTGGTAAAAACAGAGAAAAATAAAAAAATTGAACATCTTTGAATGCAAACCGACATGTTTTTCCCCATTTAATTCTTTTTTTTCTCTCGTCCAACAAAAGTTTGATAAGAATCTATGACAAATTCCTTATCTGAATAATACTAGGAAATTCTTTTAAAAAAATGTGTTTCAAAGAGAAAAAAAATAGTTGGAGAAAAAATACATTCACAAAAAAGAATAAAAAAGGGTTTAAGATAATCTATTTAAACCGAAGCTGAAAAGGCAATCAAACGAAAATGTACGCGTAAACGATAGAGTTCCTTGAAGCTCTTTTAGACGACCGATCTTTTTACCCGTGTACAAAGCAGATGAATCAAGTGGTACTTCATCATTAAACACACAGATACTCCTGTGTGAGAACAGGAACAGGCAGAAATCTTTGAAAAAAAGAAAAGAAAACACGCGATTCTCATCCACTTGTGAGTAGATTCACTCCCTTTTCTAATATTTTCTAATCAATTTGGATATAGGAAAAAGCTAAAAGTTTCAACTAATTTGGTCTCTTCGGACGGAATATTATAATTGTGTCTAACAACAATCGTCGACGTATATTGAAAATACACCAGTATTTTGATTGTGAAGTAAAACCAGGAGTGGTTAAACATCTAGGGCCTCAATAGCGATATGTCCAGTACAGATCAAATTCGATACATTGAAGATAATCCTCTGCAACACTTATTTACAAAGCCTCGTTTTACTTCATGTATTCCACACACACACATATATATGTGTATATATGTATGTACACACACACACACACACACACACACACACACACACACACACATATATATATATATACATATATGTGTGTGTGTGTTAGTCCGTGTGTTTTCGTATTTG